CCAGTGCCTGGAGACGGCCTTCGGGGTCTCGGTGGACGACAGGGGCCTGGCCATCTCACAGAAGCTCCCGGAGATCTTCGAAGCCGCCGCCGCCAAAGTGAGCGTCTTTGGGGGGGGAGGGGAGCCCCTCTGCCCCCCGCTGAGCAGAGGGGGAGGGGGGCCCTGGGGGGGTCAAAGGTCCGCGGGCAGGAAGGGAAGCGGCCCGGCTTTTGCTTCCGCGTTTGGGGTTTTTGTAGTTTTCCCTCCGAGGTACGAGACGGCCGGACAGCCGCCCCCAACTTTTGACCCTTGCGGCCCATGGGAGTTGAGCTCTCGCCCAGTTGCAGGATCCGCTGCAGTCAAAGGGGGGGGGGGGCTGGGGCAGAACGGAGTGCCTGGTGGAGGGGGGGACACGTTTGGGATTCCTTAAGACTCCTGAGCCCTCGGGGATCTGGGGAGCAAACTCCAGCGAAAGGGGAAGGAGGTCAGAAGCCAAGGAAGATCCTGATTAGGGAGCTGTAGTTGCTGGGCGCCTCTGCCTTGCGCAAGGACCCTCCTAATGCCAGCCTCCCAAGTCCTGTGACGGGCTGCTCCTCCCAGGGCCCCACCGGCTCTTCCGGTCTAGCAAGGCAGCCCAGGCGCCAGCTCTGGCACAGGGACTCTGCTCCCACCTTCCCAGGCAGGAAGAGGGCGGGAAGAGGGCGTGCAAGGCTGGCTCCTCAGCTGCCCCGGGAGAGGCCCAGCCTTTCCTCACCCGGTGCCCTCTAGGGCGTTAGGCAGCAGTTCCCATCATCCCCGGCCAGGGTTGCCGTTGAAGAAGACTGGCAGGGACCTTTGGAGAGGAAGCAGCAGGGGAGGTGACCGCCAGGGGAGGCCATCGCGGGCCCTTCTCTGGCCAGACGTTCTTGGGTGGCTACTCTGAGCCCACAAGCCCCGTGCTTGCCAGAGCATCCCTCACGCACCACAAACACCCCACCACCACCCCCCCATGCCTCCTCCGCCACAGGAGCCGCTGCAGGGTTGCCCCGTTGCTGAGCCCACCACTCCTTCCGAAGAAGAGGCGGCTGAAGCCGAAAGGCTGAAAACTGAAGGTGAGCCTCTGGGGGGGTGGGGGGGTGGAGCCCCCTCTTTGTCCCCGGCACCCGGGGGGGGGGTGGCACAGGCAGCAGGGGGCTCCCCAGCACCTGGACAGGGGGCACCAGGGGGGGATTCTGGGAGGACATCATTGTCAGCCCCCAAAGAACAAGGAAGACACGCCGAGCGGTTCCTTTTCTTGCTCCTCGCCTAAAGGCGGAAACCCCGCGGAAACGCCAGCGGCTTTCAAAGCCTTGCTGGCGAGGGGGCCGCCTTCCCTCCCTCCCTCCCGAGCAAACTGCCCAAGCTTCTTGCTGCTGCTTTGCCCTCTGGAGTGCAGCCCCCTCCCTCCCCAGCCATGCTCCCATTAAAAGCTTTGGGGGGAGGGAGGGGGGGCTCCGGCTGACTGCAGCAGAAGGGAGGCCACAATCCCTGATGGAGGCTGCAATCCTTACCCTGTGCCTCCTGTGCCTCCAGCGATTGGGGGCCGGGAGGGGGGGGGGCTTTCCTTTGAAGGAAGGAAGCCGACTGGCTGTGGGAGGTGAAGGGGGGAGCCCCGGCTTGCCAGCAGTGGCCCCCCAGGCGAGACCCGGGCGAAGGATCCCCAGAGCGGCTCCCAGGCAATGCTGAAAGGGGCCCGGGGGGGGGGCAGGATTGCCCCCTGGCCAAATGAGGCAGCTCGCCCCTCTCTTCTTCTTTCCAGGAAACGAGCAGATGAAAGTGGAGAATTTTAAAAGCGCCGTCTCGTTCTACGGAAAAGCCATTGAACTCAACCCGTCCAACGCAGTCTATTACTGCAACCGGTGAGGGAGGGTTCCTGCCGCGCTTGCTCCAGCACCTCCACGGGAACGGCTGCCTCAAATGGCGGTGGGAGGGGGGGGTGTTGAAGCGGCTGGGGGCCCTGGGGCTGCCTGGGGCCCAGCTGGAGACCCTCTCGCAAGGAGCTCCCTCCCCCCTCAGGGCTGCCGCTTACAGCAAACTCGGGAACTATGCCGGGGCAGTGAGAGACTGTGAGAGAGCCATCGGCATCGACCCCAAGTACAGCAAAGCCTACGGCAGGATGGGGTACGTGGGTCCCAGCGCTGCCCTCGACCCTGGCAGGGGAGGGGCTCCGAGCAGGAGGGAGAAAGGCTCCTGCCCCCCCCTCTCCTTCAGAGGCCACGGAGAGCCCCCCCTCTCTTCTCCCGCAAAGCGAATCCCTCTGGCTCCCGGGGAGGGGCGTCCTTGGGTTTGGTGGGTCTTTGCGTGGAGGGGCACCGGTTGAATCCTTGTGCAAAGGCGGCAGGGTAAAATTTGGGGCTGCCCCACTCACCGAGCAAAGATGGCCGGGGGGGAAGGGAGCAAAGAGCCTCTGGGAGCTCTGGGGCTCTGGCCGGCAGGAGGGCCCTGGGGCAAGGGGGGCGGGGAGGCAGGGGGGGAGGCTGCCTCTTTCGCCACCCTCCGTTTCCTCCTCAGGTTGGCCCTGTCCAGCCTCAACAAGCTCTCGGAAGCCATCTTCTACTACCGGAAGGCGCTGGAGCTGGACCCAGAGAACGAGACCTACAAGTCCAACCTGAAAGTCACCGAGCAGAAGATGAAGGAGGCCCCGAGCCCGGTGAGCGGCTGGCTGGCTGGGGAAGGTGACCCTGGGGGCGTTGTGGGGCCGGGGCAGCCAGCCCCTTTGCCCCCCGGGTGCCTGGCAGGGGTTCCGCTCTGAAGCCCCCTTCTTTCCCTGTTTCCCCACAGACGGGCAGCGCCGGAGGGTTTGACCTGGCTGGGCTGCTTAACAACCCCGGCTTCATGAGCATGGTGAGCGAGGGAGCCCCAGGGGCTCCGCTTGGCTGGGCGGGGGAGCCTGGCTGCACACGCCGGCTGGCCTCAGGGTGGCTGGCTGAGGCAGGTGCCCAGGTGAGGCCGAGGGCCAGTGAAGCTGCCCGTGGGGGGGGATTGTGGGAAGTGTGGTCCCATCGGAAAGGCCAGGGAGGCTTCCGGGCTGCTCTCTGACGGGGGCCTGAATGGTTCGGCTCTGCTGAGTCAGCCATCTCCCTCCCTCCCTCCCTCCCTCCCTCCCTCCCTCCCTGCCTTCTCTCCCTCCACAGGCCTCCAACCTGATGAACAACCCACAGGTGCAGCAGCTGTGAGTCCCGCAGGGCTGCTTGGCCTCCCTGTCCTTCCGGAAGGATCCGCTGGGGGGGAGGGGAGGGGCGGTTCAAGGGCTGCAGGGGAACCTTCAAAGGGGGCTGGGAGCAGGGGGGGGGAGGGTCCCCTCTGAAGCCCACCAGGACAGGCAGCTAATGCTTTCCCTAAAGAAAGGTTTCCTTAACAATATAGCAGTAGACTTATATACCGCTTCATAGGCCTTTCAGGCCTCTCTAAGCGGTTTACAGAGAGTCTGCATATTGCCCCCAACAATCTGGGTCCTCAAGACTCCCTTCCCCTCCTCGGGAAGCAGTTCAAAGCCAGGAATCCTAGTTAAGATGGGGCTGGATTCCGGTTTAGTGTCTCTTGCCGACCCCTTTGCTCTGCTCTGCCAACCCTGGTCTCCTGGCAGGCCGGCAACCAAAATCGAGTTCTCCTTAAAATGGCTGCCTGCCGAAGAAGGAGGGGCTCTGTGGGACCACCCCCAAAATGGAGCGCCCAGGAGCCAGCCACTGCAGCCCTGGGAGGGAGGGAGGGAGGGGAGATTCCACCCCCGTTATCCATGGGGTGGGGAGGGGGAGCCTTTCCTGGGGGAGGTTTGACTTGAGCAATCCAAACTGGGGCTTCGGGGCGGGAGGTGGGGTAGATTCCTGGCAACCCTCTCACTCCCCCCCCCCCCGGTAACCCTGTGCCCGGTGAAAGGATTTCCAGCCCCACGGTGGGATTGTTTGGGCCTCAGCGACCCCTTGGCTGGGGTGCTGCTGGGGATCCTCTCCCTGACCACATGACTGACCCATGTGGATGGTCACGGATCCCCCGCCCCCTCTCTTGCAGCATGTCCGGGATGATTTCCAGCAGCCAGAGCCCCATGGCCGCCCCGGGAGCCAGCACTGCCCCCCACGATCTCGCCAGTCTCATCCAAGCGTGAGTAGGGGGGAGCGCTTCTTCGGAGCCTGGAGAGCAGCAGCTGGCCTGACCCCCCCTCCTTTGCTCCTCCGGTGTCCCTCCCCTGATGACCCCTCCCCACCGAGCCCCATGGGAGATTTCCCCTCTAGCCCCCTCCTGCAACTGTCGGGGGTGGGGGGAGCTCAGTGCCCCTTGACTGGGCTGGTGGCCCTCAAAACAGCTCCCTAAAAAGAGGCAGCCTGAAAGAAGCCACTTTCGGGGTTCTGTCACGAGCTCTGCTGGTGGCCACAAACAGCCCTGTGTGAGTGAAGAGGTTGCCCTTTCCGGCCCCCCTGGGAAAGTTCTGGGAAGCCCCCCAGCATCTCTTGCCCTTCGGACTCCCTCTGGATCCCTCGGAGCTGCCCGAGGGCAGAAGCACCCGGCTCTTCCTTTTGGGAGGGGGGCGGGAGGAGAGGGGCAGGGGGATCGGCCAGTGTGGGTCAGCCCACTCCTCTCTCAGCCGGTGCCCTAAACAAAGGGCAGCACAGCAGAGCCCCCCCCCCTGCCCAGTTGGGAGGGTCCCTCAGGATCTCAGTCAAAGCCTCCCAGCCCTTCTGTGGGTCATGGGCTCCCTCCGCCCGGACTCTCCTGGGGCCCTTAGCCATCGGACGCCGCCTTCCTCCTCCGTCTTTCGGGCAGGGGGAGATCTTCTGTTGTGTGTTTCTCCCCCCCCCCCCTTCCAATTGTCTTCTGGTCTCAGGGCTGAACCTCCCAACTCCTCCATGGCTCCTCCCAGGACTTGGTTTCCTGTCCCAAACCCTCACCGCTTTGCTGAGCCAGGCCCGGTTGATTTGAATCCAGAACGTGGCCCAGTTCTTGAGGTGGGGTCTGAGCAAGGACCGATACAGCAGAATGATGGCTCCCTGTGATGGTGTAGCACTTATTTCCCTCCCTCCTCCCCCCCTCCCCACACACACACACTTCTGCTTGCCTCAGTTGTGGCCAACTGGCTCTGCTGGCTGCTGCCCTGTTTGCCCCTGGAGGTCCTTCCCCTTTGCCCGTCCACCCGATCCGTCTGCCAAGGGAAGAGCTCTGCTGTCCTTGTCCCTGGCAAACGCCATCCTCTTCCCTTTGCCCAGCTTACCTTGCCCACCAAGAAAGCTTCGCATTTCATTGCTATCTTCTACAGCTCTCGCCCCACTTTTATGGCATCGTCAGATCTATGAAGCACTAGACTTTATCCTCCTCCTCCTCTTCCTGCCTCCCCACCCCGGCCCCTTCCCCGAATTGAAGAGGAGCCATTGCAAAGTGTTTCCCCAGCAGCTCTTGGGCCGGTTCTGTGCCCACTCGGCTACTGTGCTGTGCAATAGGAATCATCGCAGCCCCTGGTTGACACGGCTGTTTTCTCTCCTGTGGTGTCCAGAGGCCAACAGTTCGCTCAGCAGATGCAGCAGCAAAATCCGGAGCTCATAGAACAGCTGCGCAGCCAGATCCGGAGCCGGACCCCCAGCGCTAGCAACGAAGAGCAGCAGGAATGAGGCAGCTGCCGGTGAGGGGAGGGAGGGGGGGCCATCTGTGTCTGCCTAAGGGGAGGTGCGAGTGGCTGCAAGGAAAGTGGGGGGGGGGGCTTAGCAGAGGAAGAAACTTAGGAAGAAACTCAAGCGGTTACAAGGCCCTTTTGCACTTGCTGGATTCAGCTCGGCTCTCCCTGGGAAACCAGGCGGGAAATACAACCAGACCAGCTGAATCTGCTTGAATTGAGTGTCTGAAGGCAGAAATTTCCCCCTGCCGCTTCTGACTTCTTGGCCCATTAGCGCTGGTCTTCCCTGCGTTTCTTCCAAAGGCTCCGGCTTCTTTGCTGCCTGGTTTTTTAACTAGGCAGCGTCTCTTCCACTCTTTCTCTATGGTCCTTCACAAATGAAACTTTCTCCCCCACGGTTTTTGTGGCTCATTTACCATATTTTTCAGAGTGTAAGGTGCACCTTCCCCCCCTAAAAGAGGGTGAAACTTTGGGTGCGTCTTATACACTGAATTTAGCCCTACCCACCGGTCCCACCCCTTTGGCCCCTGCCTCCCAGCAATTTGCCTCTTTATTGCAAAGGGGGAAAATCCCTGCAGCCTGGAACAGCTGGTGACCGGAAGGCCCAGGCTGAAATTGAAAGTGAAACTTGCTGTTTGCTCCAAGAGGCAAATTGCTGGCAGGGGCAGATTCTTTTTCTTGTGCTAATCAAGTTGTTTGCTGTTTGCTGCTTGCTGCAAGGAGGTGTCAATAACTATAAGTGCCTATAGAACAGTGGCGGCTAGCCTTTTTTGGCTCCCGTGCCAAAAGCGGGAGGAGCGCAGGGGGGGTCGTGCATGGGCATGCCACACCTATAACGCTATGTGCATGACCCAGCGCGCAGGCACGCATGACCAGCACTCCCCCTGCCTGCCTTTGGCGCACTTATTTTGCTCTCTCCAGGCTCCAGAGGCTGTCTACGGGGAACCCGGAAATTCGGGAACGGTGACTTCCGGTTTGTCTGTAGGGCCATTTCTTGCCCTCCGGAGCCTTCAGGGAAGCCTCCTGAAGCCTCTGGAGGGCGAAAAACGGCCTCAAGGGAAGACTGAAGTCAGCAGGGCAGTGCGCGCTGGAGCTGACAAGGCAATGCCTGGCATGCCCTAACAAATGACTCCACGTGCCACCTGTGGCGTGCCACAATTCCACCATCACGGCTATAGAATGTTCAAATTATTAGACTTATTTTTTTAAAGGCTGCTTTATTATTGTTCTAGTCCAGTGTTTCCCAACCTTGGCCACTTGAAGATGTCCGCACTTCAACTCCCAGAATTCCCCAGCCAGCAAATGCTGGCTGGGGAATTCTGGGAGTTGAAGTCCGGACATCTTCAGATTGCCAAGGTTGGGAAACACTGGTCTAGACAGCCTAACAAAAGGAAGCTTTTTAAGATAAACGCTTGATCTGAAGAGTCCCAGTGCTGTTGTATCTTCTTTTAAATAGCAGAGAATAGCTATACTTCCAGAATGCACACCAATTTTAACAGCATCTGTACAAGCGGAGTCTGAAATGAAACACTACAAACAGTCTACATTGTCAGTGCTGTTTGTTGCAAGGAAGTTGAGGCAGATATTTTCCCCTTGTTTTCCTCCCCAAAAGCTAGGTGCCTCTTATACTTCACAGCGTCTCACACTCTGAAAAATACGGTACTTTTGCATAGGGAGGGGGATGGAGCAGGGAGCCAGAGAGGGCCAGTGGCTGGAATGGGGCCCTTGCCGTGGAAGCGGGGAAGCCTCTTGAAGGGAAATCCATGCAAGGACTCTGAGGGAGACCCCAATCTGCCCCATGTAGTTGGAGATCATCCCTCGGGAGCAAAAGGGCCAAGGAAAGGGGCACAGAGTGGAGAGGCTGGCAGGGAGGGCGGCCACCCTGGCACCTTGATCAGTTGCTCCATAGCTGCAATGGCCAGGGGCCTCCCTGGACCTGTTTGCATAACTCCACAGCTGGCCAGTGAACGGATGCCAGGTGGGCAGACTTGGGTGGCAGCTGAAGGCCCCGGCGTTGTCCAACCCCCATTCAGGGCAGGAATGCAAAGGGAAGCCTCCTTGGTGAATGGCAGCCTATCCAGGCTGGGGGAGCAACCAGAGCTGGGGGGGGGGGGGAGGCCATCTGCTCCTGGACAAGATCTGCTTATGTTTGTCTCCCATCTTTCAGGAGGACTCTTCTCCTGGTCAGGAAGACCCCCTTTGCCCCAAGGGAAGGACCAGCTGAAGAGCTTCCCAGCTGCTGCCGCCACCAGCCCAGCTGTTCCTCTGCTGGAAAAGCCCAGGAAGGATTGTGGGGGGGGGGGGGGGGGAGCCAAGCCTGATCCGGCCTGCATGTTAGAGACTGTTTCGCGTAGCTTCCCTCCCTTGCCTCCTCCTCCCCCCACTCCTTACTCTCTGGTGGACTTTGCCAGGGGGGAGGAGAGCTACTGACCACAAATCGGCATCTCTCCCCACCCCCACCTCCAAGGCAAGCTGTGGGGCTGTCAACACCAGGCCTTTCCTGTCGCTCAGAAGAAGACACAGACACCCAAGACTGCGCCATCTTCCAGCAGGGAGAGTCACCTTTTCCCAGCCAGGATTTCCTCCTCGTCACCGCTGCTGGATCCTGGCTCACCAAGGCTGGGTGGCCCCCCTCTTGGGAAGAGGCCCAGTTGACTGGACAGGAGGGGAGCTGGTGGGGCTGGCATTGGTGGCCGGGAAAGACGGGAGGGCTCTCCTCTGCTTTTTAGTGGGACGTTTGTTTTTAAGAAGGATCGGGGCTAGTCTGGTGTGACTTTTCTGTGATCAGGCCGGGGGCTTCTTTCAAAAATTCATTTCTCTCGATAGCGGCCTGGGGAGCCTGCCTGCCTGGACTGGCTAACAGGGCATTTCCTGCCCAGCATGAGGGGTGCCAAGAAGCCTCGGCCGCATGACCGGCATAGGGCCAAGCCAAGCATCTCCCCCCTGAAGCCAGGACTCCTTGTGGCCAGGACTCCCCTCAGCATCGGGTGTCTAGAGCATGGCTCTCACCTGTAGAGGTGCCTCCTGGAAGGTGTTTGTGGCTGCTCTCATTTGAACCTCTTGAATCTCCCAGATCCCCTCCAGCCAGCAGGATGGGCCAGGTGGCAGCCCAAGGACCTTGGGGGGGGGAGGAGGGCCACCTTCCTTAAGTGCCATCTGCCAGAAGCCCCCTGGAGACTGCCCTGCCCTCAACCAGGTGCCCCTTTGCTGTCCGGCCAAAGGCTCTGGAGAGAAGAGCAATGGGCCCTGGAGCCTTCTGATGCCCTCCTGTCAGCCCAGGTGTGCCCGCCCCACTGGCGGCCATGGGCAGAGCCTTGTCACGTGCCCCTCTGATTTCTCATCCGGCCCTTGCCAGGGGCTGCAAAAGCCATCTTGTGGACCGGCTGGGCACTGGGGCAGATGCAGATTTTAGGGCAGCCAAGTAGGGAGGTGGCGGGTGGAGTCCTACCCGGGGCTCCTTCTGTGGGTGCCGGGAGGGGGAACCTGCCAGGCTAGAAAGGTAAGTGATGGGGGGGGGAGGTGCTTCCAATAAGCAGGGAGGGGCTGAAGAATCACCCTCTTGTCTCCAGCAATGGCTTTTCTTTGATGTAGGAAATAAACTTCTTTGGACACTGTCGGCTGGTACCTGGAGGGCAAAGGGAGTTGGGTGCCTCGCCTCCTCCAAAACGGCTGGGGGGGGGGGTGTGTGTTCTGGTCTGTGGGAGGGAGGAAGTGGGGCAGGGACCTCGGGGGTTGTCCCCGCCCGAGAGCTGCCAAGGGGTTTGGGGGGGGGGAGGAAGCAGCCCTCTGCGCAACTCTCCTACCCGGCCAGAGGGGCAGAGCGCCGGGACAAGCTCCGGGGAGGGGGAGGAGGGTTCTCCGGCACGTTTTGCGACCTCGGCAAGAAGGCTGCCGGGCTGCAACCGAGATCCTGGGACTGGAGGTGCGATTTCCGCGAGGAGCCCGGGCGGCCCCTTTGCAGACCCTGCATTGCCCCGCGGAAGCGACCGGCCTTCGGGCTCGCCGCCCCCAAGAGCTTCGGCCAGCAAGGCGCCCCCTCGTGGGGGGTGGTTCTTGGCGCTCCGGAACCTCCTCGCGGGAAAGGCGTTCCGCCCGGAGGCCTTTTCGGCGCGCACCGGGGGAGGGGCTTCCCTCCCGCGAGCGTCGCTGTGACGTCATCGGAGGGCGGCGGCGGCTCCCTCGGGCGGCCATGGAGGTGGTGGCGGCGAAGGTGCTGTGCCTGCTGGGGACGCTGGCGCTGATGCTGGCGGGCGCCCTGCTGCCGGTGAAGGTGCTGGAGGCGGACCCCGAGCGGGCGCAGCGCTCCCGGCGGGCCCTCGGCCTCTGCAACGCCCTGGGCGGCGGCGTCTTCCTGGCCACCTGCTTCAACGCGCTGCTCCCGGCCGTCCGCCAGAAGGTACGGTGGGGAGGGGGGTCCCCGGGTCATCTAGTCTGGCCCCGGGCAAGGGAGGGGGCGCCCCGAGGGGCCTCCCCGGCGTTTCCTCCGCCCGCCCGCCCGCCCCCTCCCTCCTTCCTCAGCTGGGTCCGCCTGCGGTGAGGCACCGGTTGGGCGGCAGGAGGAGCCCAGGAGGCCTCCGGGCTCCCCGCTTGCTCGGCTTTCCAGCCGTTGGTTTTGCTGGCCTTGGTCCGTTTGATCGGGATCGGTCTGGACCTTTTCCTCCCTGGTTTCCCCTCCTCTCCCTCTCCCTCTCTCTCTCTCTCTCCGCCTTGCAACCGTTGGGCTTCCGAGCATCTATTTGGGCAATTTACCTTTGAAGGATTTCTGGCTTCCGGGATCTCCCGGGACCCCGTTTGCACGTCTCCCGATTTCTCCTCCTGACCGCCGCCCGCCCCCCCGCCGCTCCCCTCCTTCCCCGGCTCTCCCCTCCTTGTCTTTGCCATCAGAGCTCGGAGGCCCCACTCGCCTCGCGCCTTCTGGGACGGGAGGAGGAGGACTGAAGGGCCCCTACAGCCACGGCTGCTGAGTCGCTTGTCCACCCCATTCATGTCCCGCTTCTGCCCTCCGTTGGCCCTCTGTTTGGCTTGAGCGCCTGCAGCCCACTCCCCCCCCCTCCCTCCCCCATAAGAGGGCTGGTCTCACCAGAGCAGAAGAGAATCTGGACGGTCGGCTTCTGTCTTGCAGCTCCAGGAGGTTTTGAAACTTGGGAACGTGACCACCGACTACCCCCTGGCAGAGACCATCATGATGCTGGGCTTCTTCCTGACGGTGTTTGTGGAGCAGCTGGTCTTGACCTTCCGGAGGGAGAAGCCGTCCTTCATTGACCTGGAGACCTTCAATGCCGGCTCAGACGTGGGCAGCGACTCCGAGTACGAGAGCCCCTTCATCGAGCCTTCCTGGGGGGGGCACGGCCCCCGGGCCGACCGTGGCCGCCACAGCCACGGGCTGGCCATCTACGAGCTCTCGCGGTCCAGCCCCCTGCGGCTCTTCAGCCTGGTCTTTGCCTTGTCTGCCCACTCCATTTTTGAAGGCCTGGCCCTGGGCCTGCAGGAGGAGGGCGACAAAGTCATGAGCCTCTTCCTGGGGGTGGCCATCCACGAGACTCTCGTGGCCGTGGCCCTGGGGATCAACATGGCCAAAACAGGGCTGAAGATCAAGGAGGCGTCCAAGCTGGCCGCTGCCGTCAGCCTGATGATCCCCCTGGGCATCGGCATCGGCATGGGCATCGAGAGCGCCCAGAACGTGGCCAGCAGCGTGGCCTCGGTCATCCTGCAAGGGATCGCCGGGGGCACCTTCCTCTTCGTCACCTTCTTTGAGATCCTGGCCAAGGAGCTGGAGGACAAGAAGGACCGGCTGCTGAAAGTCCTCTTCCTGGTCCTGGGTTACGCGGCCTTGGCGGGCCTGGTCTTCCTCAAGTGGTGAGGGGCCTCCATGTGGCACCCCAGGAATGGGCCGGAACCCCCCCCCCCTGCGTGTGTGCCAGGAGGAGAGCCAGGCGGTGGGGGGGGGTGAGGGGGGGTCACCAAGAGGCACATTGTCCCGAGTGCTGGACTCTTCCCTGGCCATTTCCTCACATCCATTGGTGGGGGGGGGGTAGAGCTGGGAAGGCGGTGTCCTCTTCAGCCGAGGTTTTTGGCCAAGACCTCGAAGACAGCCTGGCACGGCGCTTGATGGAGCCACTTTGCCCTCTGGCAGGCACAAGGGGCGGATTGGGGGGAGGCTCTGCCCTCCTACTGAAGGGAGACATTTGTCTTCGCCAGGCGCTGCCGGTTCATTTCCTGAAAGCTGGTCTCCTCCTCCTCCTCCTCCTCCTCCTGCCAGGAGCTTATTTGGCCCCTGGGGTTGCCAAGGCTTCATCTGGTCTTTTGTTTGGACCAGCCTTGCAATTAGGAAAGGGTTGAGCTGCCCACAAGGCCCGGTGTCATCCCTGACTTGCAGAGGTCCGTCCTGCCCTTCAGAGCCGCCAGGTTTCTTGCTCTGGGGTGGCCTGGGGGCCAGTCGTCCACTTCAGGACACTTTTCTTTTATGCAACTTGAAGCTCCTCGTTTGGCTTTGTGTGTGAGAATGAGAGCGTCTCCCGCGTTGGGCCAGATTTGAGCCACACGGTTGAGGAGCAAAGGTTTCCAGGCGCATCTGGGCCTCTTTGGGCTCCTCGGAATGGGGCAGGAGGGCTGAAATACTTGCCAGCTCGCCCTCCCCTTTGCCCGTCTGCAGCAGAGGCCACGGGAACTGCCCGCCTGGATGGGTCCGTCTCCTTTGCGGACCAGCGGGTCCCCTCTGGCGCCCTCGGGGTGGCCTCCTCTGCTGGCAGAGTGTTGGCCCTCTGGCCGGTCTGTCTGGTTGGCTCCTTCCTCCCAGGCGCTCGATCAGGGCGGGGCGGGGCCTGTGCCTGGCCTCCCTCTGCTGCTTCCGCAGTGGAGAGACTGCCGATGCCTGCCGGGGCTCTAGCTCAGGGACCCCCCCCAGCTACCGTCACCCCAAGGACGGGCCTTCCTCCCCTTGGGCTCCGGAGAATGCGCCCATCCTCCTCCTCCTCCTCGCAGCCTCAGGCAAAGCAGAGCTGGACCCTCTGCGCACCAGACAGAGGCTGTCGGGGCCAGGAGGTTGCATGAGGGGGGGAGGGGGAGAAGGCACGACCGAGGACCACCCACCACACTCCTGATCGTTTGGCTGAGGGGATGCGGTTAGGGGAGAGGCGCCTCCCCCTTTCCCCCCTCAGCTGCAGCTGGGACCCAAAATTGCACCCCTGGCTGGCTGGGTACGAGTGGGCACCTTCCTCCCCAATTGTGGCATCAGCCTGGCTGCTGGCAAGGCTTCCTGAGGCCCTCAAAGCTGGGGGGTGGGGGGAGAAGGGGTCTGCTTGTGGGTTTGTGTGTGCGTGGGCATTATTTATTGCATTCCTGCTCTGGGAAAGGATCACACCCGTCTGGTTGGGTTGTTGTGTTGCACTTACGATAATCTCCGTTGTGCTGAAATAGTCAGTCTCTGCAGGCTGAAATAAACCTCCTTTACTGCCCCTTTTGTGACCCTGTCTATTGTGGGCAAATCACATTGGGGGAGCCGGTGCCCTCCTTTCTGTGGGCCAAATGCTGTCAGAGCCCCAGAAGCTTCTCGCCTGGGCAGGAGGTGGGATGGGCAGAGAGGAGCTCGGCCTCCTTTTGGCTTCCCTGCCTCTCGAGGGAGGCTCTGCTCCTCCCCGCCTCCCAGAGGGAGCTGTGGGCCGGCCCTGCCCAGCCTCAGGGGCCTCGGACCGAGCGCCCAGCATCACCACCCTCCCTTCACCGCTTCCTTCCCTCTGGGGTCCCTGGGCCCCTCAGCCTCCTCCCAGCCTTTTGGAACGGCCTGGTCCAAGCATCGGGGGGGGGGGGACTCCTCCGGTGTTGCACTGCATTGTGTGACGTGTTGGGAGAGGAATCGGCCCTTAGCGGCGCTTGGCACCCGGCAAGGCGTGGGGGTGCAGACGAGGGGACTTTTGCGGATGGGGGCCTGGCTGACCTCTTGGCCCTGAGGAATTGTGGGGGGGGGCGCACAGCTAAGTGGGGCCCTGGTGGAGCTTCCCCTTGCTCCTTCCTGTCCTCCGCCTTAACTGGGCTGACCTGATCCGAGTCTCTTCCGGCCTCCCGGCCCTTGAGCCTCGTACAGGTCCAAGGGAGCCTCCCCAGAAGAAGCCGCAGGGAAAGGAGCTTTTGGCAACCTGGTGGGAGGGGGGTGGAGAGACCTCTGAGGCTCTGTGCCAGCAGGGGCACCCAGGAGGTCCCTGCAAGGGAGGCCTGGTCCCAGAGTCCTGGCTGTGGCAGCACCTCTCCACTTGAGGCTGCACCCTGATCTGGGACTCCCTGGTGGCGGCTGCGGCCAAGGCGGCCTTTGCACGGCTCCAACATGCAGACCAGGGGTGCCCCTTTCTGGGTCAAGAGGACCCCCACACAATCGCACGAAGGTCAGCCCTCCCCCTGACTGTTGCAGGGTGCTGCGTTTGGAGCTGCCCACCAGGCTCCCCTCCAGGAACAAGGATGTGTGAATCTCACCCACGGGTAGAGCTGCAAAGAAGTCAGTGGCCAAGTGGGCAACAGGGAAAGCCTCTGCACTGAGACCTTGGGGGGGGGGGCGGGGGAGGGCTCTGGCCGTCAGTCCAAGAGGGGTGGGGTGGGGGCAGGGATGAGAAAGGGAGGAGGAGGGTCAAGAGAGAAGATCTGAGCCCACCCAGTGAAGGAAGTGGGCCTCTCTGCTAATTGGGTTGGGGGATATTGGCATCCAATCATCTTTCCGGCTCTCCTGCCATCCCTCTTGGTTTGCCTGTCCCAGAAGAAGCCCCAAGCGAGGAAAGAGCTGTGCCCGGAGGCATCGGCCACTTCCAAGAGGCGACTCTCAACGCCTTTTTGCGAGCAAGACTGGAGTCGACAAGTGTGGTCTTGCCAAGAGATTGTCAAGTGATACTGAAACTTCCGGCGATGGTGATTCGATTCCCCTGTTAACGCAGCCTAGGATTGCATTGGCTTTTCCGGCTGCTGCTGCACACAGGCCTGGCTCATAGTTAAGGGATTGTGCAGCAGGATGCCAGGCTCCCTCCCGCCATGACTGGAGCCAAGTGCCACCTATTCTGTATCCCAAAGGTGCTTTTTCAAGAGGCAGCTGGACTTTCATTTTGAAGTCGTTTTGCTTCTCATCCACGAAGAGCTTTGGGACAACCATGACCGGGATGACACGGAGCATCTCTATAGACACCCACCTATCCTTTTAAATCGCTTGTGAAGATACTGAAGGTTCCTGGGCCTCAGGTAGAAGTGGGGGATCTGGCATTGCACGCTTGCCTGTCCTTCCACTGAGGACTCCCCGTTGAGTAAGGCTGGTCAGCCAGGCACAAATTCATCTGGTGGTGATGTTGCCTAACCCACATGAAATAAGATTGGTTTGGCACGATCTGCTTTTGACAAACCCGCGTTGCCTTTGCTTCTGGGTGTTTGCAAATCTGTTCCCTGGTTCTCTTTCCCAGGATCTTCCCGGGTATTGAAGTCAGGCTGATTGGTCTAGTTTCCTGGATCCGTTTTTCTCCTTCCTTAAAGGTGGGAGGCACGTCAGCTCTGCTCCAGTCCTCAAGTACTTCCCCAGGCTCCACATCTGTCCCTTCAGACCTCTGGCCTGTAACCCCATCTGGCCACAGTGATTTGAATTGGCCGAGGGAGGACAGATGTTCTCTTAGCATTTTCTAGCCTATTTTAATTTGCATCCCTCTTCGGTCATGGTTTCGTTTTTGGTAGGTGGGAATGTTCCCCCCCCCACACCCCTTTTGCATGAAGGTGCAAGGAGTGAATTCAGTAGCTCTGGTTTCTCCCTGCTGCTCATCACCTCCTTGCCACCTTCTCCCATTAAGGGACCAATTATTTCCTTGACTTTTTTCTTCTTTTTTTCATGTTGAAGCCTTATCATCATCATCATCATCATCATTTTTTTACATTTGTTGCTAGTTCATTCTGAGCCTTTTATACATAAGGGGATTGTATGGGTGCACACACGCACACGCACACACACACACACACTTTCTTTTCCAGTTCCACACCATCCCATTGGGGGCAGAGCTCCGTCCTGGGTGCCATTTCCCGATTGCCTTACAGGTTCTTCAACAACCAGAATTGGTGGTCTGGCACAGCCCAGGTTTTAAAGGTGGTTCAGTGCTTGTGGGTCAATAGCTCCCCCTTTCCACCGAAGGCCAGCAATGGCACCTCAGGCGGGCCTGCCTCTTCTGAATCCGCTTTGGGCATCTGGCGGGTTTGGGCCACAAAGCCCTGCCTGGGGGGCAAAGGCAGGGCTTTCCAGGCGGAGCTGATCTCTGCCGGGGAGTCAGGCCAAGAAGGTAGGCAACGCTTCGCCGGGGAAAGGTTGCGCTCTTCCGGCCCCCTTTGCTCTCTGCGGGCATCCAGGGCGTCTGGTCGCCGCCATCGGAACGTCTCCTTTTTCTCCACGGCAACACTGGGAGAGGGGGGGGGGCACGCGGGGCAGAGCGTGGCCGCCGGGAGGGGGGACGCTGCCTTTCTCAAGGGCCGAGGACCCAACTGGGCACCCCGCACTCCGCCCAGGCTAAGGCGGGGGAGGCCGACGAGGGGCGGGGGCTTCAATTGCTGCCTGGAACAGTCCAAGCCGCCGATGCAGCCACGCCGGCGGTCGGGCGACTGGAGGTTCCAGCCAATTCTGCCCGGGCCGCTCTTCGCCGGGCCCGGATTTGGGCGGGGGAGGCGGGGGGCGCTTGTCCGCTCAAAAGGCCGCTGCTCCAGATCTCGCCCAAGGTTGGAAGGGGCCCCGGCAGCGCCTCGCACCCAAGCGCGCCGCTGCAGCGTGGAGCCGCAAGAGCAGGCGGGAAAGCCCCTCCGAGAAGCGGGGGCGGCAGAAGAAAGCGGGGCGCGGGCAGCGGGACCGCGGCGGACTCGCTA